CAGGAGCACTTGTGTCCCTTTGCTCATGTGCCTCCCAGGCCTCACCACATCGATGTGGCTGACTAGCCATCAGGGCTGCGGCTCCCTTTGCCCATCATCGCCTCTCTACCCCGGCTGCCCACAAAGCAGGGGTTTCCAGCTGGGCTTTTGAAGCTGCAGAGGCAGAGTTTAGAGGAGAGAAAGAAAGACTTCTGCTGCTTTCTTTGCGTGCAACCAGCCAGCAGAAGCAACAGAAGTCTTTCTTTCTCTCCCACAAACTCCGCTTCTGTGGCTTCCAAACTCCAGCCAGGGCAGCGGCTGCTCTGGGAGTGTGCTTCCCGCTCTATGGTGATAGTCACTGGAGGCCTCCCCTTTCCCCCTGCTTTTCTCCACTCCAATCACCCTGTGGTCCCTCCACCCAAGCGCTGTCCGACTGGAGCACCCGCCAGCAAGCCCAGGAAGCCCCTTCACATTGGGAGTCACCGGACAGGACGTCAACCCGGCCGGACTCTTCCTGGGGAGGAGAACTTCGCGGGACCCTTGCCCGCCCTCCCTTCTTCCTGCAGGCCCGGTTACTCTTCTCTGGTGCCTGGCAGTGAGATGCCAGGCAGCTACGCCGAGAGCAGCCCCAACAAATGCAGCTTGGCTGGCCTGGCCATGGGCAGCACTCTGTGCCCGGGGTTGAGCTTGGCCCTCAGTGGGCCAGCCAGAGCCTTCACAGGCAGCAGCAGCAGCAGCAGCAGCAGCAACACCTGCAGTGCCTCAGCCACCGCTGGTGAGAGACCTGTGCCTCTGTTGCGCAGGCGCTTGGTGTACGGTCAGTGCCGGGGCGGCAGGGGGGCACATGAGTTTATAGGGATGTGGCTTTCTCGGGAGGGTTGGGGATGAGGGACCTGTGTGTGTGTGCGTGTGTGAGAGAGAAAGGGTTGGGTGGGGTGGAGAGAACATTGCTGGGCCACCCAACCAAACAGAGGAAATAGATGAACTTTTTGCTAGTCAGCTAACTAAGGTATGTAGGAAGCACATCCCAATAGTAATGGGGGAGTTTAACTATCCTGACATCGATTGGGAGACAAAGTCTGTGCCAAGTGGAAGATCCAATAGGTTCCTAACAAACCTAGCAGACAAAAGTAGAGAAGGGAACAAGGGTATCATCCATATTGGACTTAATCGTCATGAACAGAGATGAAATAATAGAAGGTGTTGAAGCTACAGGAACCTTGGGTGTAAGTGATCATGCAATATTGGAATTCAAGATTATGCAAGCACAAGTAGTAGCACAAAGTCAAACTAGAGTCTTGGACTTTAAGAGAGTTAATTTCAATAAATTTAGAGCTTGGATTCCACGAAGGATTCATCGGACGAGAATCCTCAAGGGGAAAACAATTCAAGCAGCTTGGGAAATTTTGAAAAGTGAGATTATAAAAGCCCAGTCTAGCCCAATACCAATGAAGAAGAAAAATAACAGCTCTCAAAAGAAACTAGCATGGCTGCACAAAGCGTAGACTCAATTTACATAGACTTCTGTAAAACTTTTGATTCAGTGCTACACGACAAATTACTTCTAAAACTAAAATCTTATGTCATTTCTGGACTCCTACATAAATGGATAGCTTCCTTCCTGTCAAACAGACAACAAGTGGTCAAAATAGGAAGCACTCTATTAAATCCTGTACTTGTTAACAGTGGTGTTCCTCAATGCAGTGATTTAGGTACAACACTCTTTATACTTTACATAAATGACCTTTGTGATCATATTAAAAGCAACTGTGTTTTCTTCATTGCTGATGTTAAACTATTCAACACCACCGACAATGCAACTACCCTTTAAAAAGACCTTGACTATGTGTCAGATTGGTCTAACAAGTGGCAACTTCAAATCTCAACCAATAAATGCTCTGTCTTGCACATTGGCAAAAAAAATCAAAACATAAAATTGAAATTAGATGGACATGGAAAAGAAAAATGTCAAAGAAACAATTGGTCCTTTTTGGGAGAAAGTGGCAAGAAGGTGAGAAAGCAGTACTACTTAACTCGTTTTTTGCATCTGTCTTTACACAAAAGGAAAAAACAGTCCAACCTATCAAAAACAGCACCACAAAAAACAGATTAGGAACACAAGTTAAAATAGGGGGGGAAATGGTAAGTGAACACCTGTCTACCCTAGATGAGTTCAAATCACCAGGATCGGATGGATGACACCCCAAGATTCTGAAGGAACTGGCAGACGAGATCTCAGAACCACTGAACTATATCTTTCAAAGATCCTGGAGCACAGGATTTTCCAGCCAGAGGACTGGAAAAAAGCTGATGTAGTTCCCATCTTCAAAAAAGGGGGAAAAAAAATAGATCCAGGAAACTATCAGCCTGACCTCAATACAAGGGAAGATTCTGGAAAAGATAATCAAGCAATGAATCAGCGAACACCTAGAAGCAAACAAAGTAATTTATTTATTTATTTATTTATTAATCAAATTTCTATACTGCCCTACTCCTGAAGGACTCAGGGCGGTGAACAGCCAAGATAAAATACAGATAATACAAATATTAAAAATCCCCTAAAATTATTAAATAGTTTGGCTGAAACACAGATTAAAACATCCAATTTATAAAATCACGAATTAAAAATTTAAAAGAGGAGAGTTAGGCCAGGCCAGCCTGCTGAAATAAAAAAGTTTTGAGAGCATGACGAAACGTGCGCAGGTCCGGGATCCTCCGTATCTCTGGGGGGAGCTCGTTCCAGATGGTAGGTGCCCCCACAGAGAAGGCTCTCCCCCTGGGGGCTGCCAGTCGACACTGTTTGGCCGACGGCACCCTGAGGAGCCCCTCTCTATGGGAGCGTACTGGTCGGTGAGAGGCTATTGGTAGTAGAAGGCGGTCTCGTAAATACCTCGGTCCGATGCCATGGAGCGCTCTAAAGGTGGTAACCAAAACCTTGAAGCGCACCCGGAAGACCACCGGGAGCCAGTGCAGCTCGTGCAGGAGGGGGGTTCACATGGGAGCGCCACATCGCTCCCATAACCACCCGCGCAGCCGCATTCTGGACCAGTTGGAGCCTCCGGGTGCTCCTCAAGGGGAGCCCCATGTAGAGAGCATTGCAGTAGTCCAGGCGGGAAGTAACAAGAGCATGAGTGACCGTATTTAACGAGTCCCAATCCAGAAAGGGACGCAACTGGCGAATCAGACGGATATGATAAAAAGTCCCCCTGGCCTTGGCTATCATGTGCTCTTCTAAAGACAGCCGTGAGTCCAGGAGGACACCCAAGACGCGAACCCTCTCCGTGGGGGCCAATGACTTGCCCCCAATAGTCAGTGATTGCACCAACTGACTATATCGGGATGTCGGAAACCACAGCCACTCGGTCTTGGATGGGTTGAGCCTGAGTCTGTTTCTCCCCATCCAGATCCGCACGGCCTCCAGGCACTGGGACATCACTTCAAGGGCATCATTGGGGTGGTCCGGGGTGGAGATGTACAGCTGAGTGTCGTCAGCATACTGATGGTACTTCACCCCGAAACCACGGATGATCTCACCCAGCAGCTTCACATAAATGTTGAACAGAAGGGGTGAGAGGACCGACCCTTGTGGCACCCCACACACAAGGGGCCTCGGGGTCGACCTCTGCCCCCCTGTCAACACGGACTGCGACCGGTCACAGAGAAAGGAGGAGAACCACCGTAGGACGGTGCCCCCCACCCTTAACTCCTCTAGCCAGTGCAGCATGATACCATGGTCGATGGTATCAAAAGCCGCTGAGAGGTCTAATAGGACTAGGACAGAGGAACAACCCCTGTCCCGAGCCCTCCAGAGATCATCAACCAACGCGACCAATGCCGTTTCCGTGCTGTACCCAGGCCTGAAGCCCGACTGGAACGGATCCAGATATGACGATTGATCCAGATGAAATGATCCCAAGAGCTTCAGCGGCATTAAAGGACAGGGTTTCGGTTGGAGGCTTTTAAGAAGAGACTGGACAGTCTCTTGTCTGAAATGGAATAGGGTCTCCTGTCTTGACCAGTGGGTTGGACTAGAAGACCTCTAAGGTCGCTTCCAACTCTGATACCGCAATTCAGCCCAAAATTTCACTGTTGCTAAGTGAGACATCTGTTAAGTGAGTTTTGTCCCATTTTACAACTTTCCTTGCCACAGTTGTTAAGTGAATCACTGAAGTTGTTAAATTAGTCACACGGTTGTTAATTGAATCTGGCTTCCCTGTTGACTTTGTTGGTCAGAAGGTGACAAAATAGGATCACATGAGTCTGGGACACTGCAACCATCATTATAATTATGGGTGTTTTGCTAAGCACCTGAATTTTGAACATGTGACCATGGGGTTGCTGCAGTGGTTGTGTGAAAAACAGTCAAGAGAATCACAGTGAAGCCACCCTCATAGGAAGGAGAACCAGTTTTAAAGCATGTACCACAAATGGAATAAAATCTGGGGAGAAAAGGAATATGTAGCAACTGACATGTTTCAATCAAATTGCTTCTTTTGGCTTTTGAACCATGAAGGTCACCTGCAGGGCAGAACAGCCTTTACATCTGAAATTTTACATTGCTTTTCTCACTGCCCTAAACTCCCCCAATATATTTGCTATTCATATGGTTTCTTCCACTTGCGTGCCACATTCTTGACACAATCTGAATAGACATGCTTGGTGCACTGAATTTCTGGAACTGTAATCGTGTTTCCCCAAAAATAAGACCCTGTCTTATATTTTTTTGAATCCTGAAATAAGTGCTTGGCCTTATTGCCATGCGCTCAAAAGCACAATTGGGCTTATTATCAGGGGATGTCTTATTTTGGGGGAAACAGGGTAGAAAAAGAAGAACGTTGAAAAAAAGCCCTGATGTCTCTTCTCCGCTTGTTTTTTCCTTATATGAAGAAGCACAATCTCTTTAACTATAGTCTCAGTGCTCCAATCCCCAAGAGATGCTGGGGGCACACAGGGAGAAAACGGCTGGGACTCCTGGCACATAGCATTTCTATCATCCACCATCACAAAAATGCAAAGAACACTCCCAAAAAGTTTTTTACATAATAGCCAAATTTTTACAAAAATAAATATCCAGCAACTTCTTATGCTGAAAGCAAGATAGCCATTATCAAAGTAATATGTTCCAACTTTTTCTTTCCTCTGCTGCATCTAATACCACTGCATATTTGCCTACAAAAAATCAGGCAAATTCTATTTAATTTAATCAATTTAAATAGTCAATATCTCAGCTGGACTTACAATGGGACACTAGAAATGACATTCAAACGGTTTCTCTCCTGTGTGAATCCTCTGGTGTTTCACCAGGCTGGAATTGTGACTGAAACTTTTACCACAATCAGGACACTCAAAGGGTTTCTCTCCTGTGTGAGTTCTCTGGTGGCCGATGAGATTGGAATGCTGACGGAAATTTTTCCCACAGACAGGACATTCAAAGGGTTTTTCTCCTGTGTGAGTCCTCTGGTGTTTCACCAGGCTGGAATTGTGACTGAAACTTTTACCACAATCAGGACACTCAAAGGGTTTATCTCCTGTGTGAGTCCTTTGGTGGCCGATGAGGTTGGAATGCTGACGGAAACTTTTCCCACAGTCAGGACATTTAAAGGGTTTTTCTCCTGTGTGAATCCTCTGGTGTATTACAAGGCTGGAATTGGTACTGAAACTTTTACCACAATTGGAACATTCAAAGGGTTTTTCTCCTGTGTGAATCCTCTGGTGTTGAACCAGGTTGGAATTCTGACTGAAACTTTTCCCACAGTCAGGACATTCAAAGGGTTTTTCTCCTGTGTGAATACTCTGGTGTTTCACCAGGTTGCAATTGTTATTGAAACTTTTCCCACAGTCAGGACATTCAAAGGGTTTTTCTCCTGTGTGAGTCCTCTGGTGTTTCACCAGGCTGGAATTCTGACTGAAACTTTTCCCACAGTCAGGACATTCAAAGGGTTTTTCTCCTGTGTGAGTCCTCTGGTGGTTCACCAGGGTGGAATTTGTACTGAAACTTTTACCACAATCAGAACATTCAAACGGTTTCTCTCCTGTGTGAATCCTCTGGTGTCGAACCAGGTTGGAATTCTGACTGAAACTTTTCCCACAGTCAGGACATTCAAAGGGTTTTTCTCCTGTGTGAGTCCTCTGGTGTTTCACCAGACTGGAATTGTGACTGAAACTTTTCCGACAGTCACGACATTCAAAGGGTTTTTCTCCTGTAGGAGTCCTCTGGTGTTTCACCAGGCTGGAATTGTGACTGAAACTTTTACCACAATCAGAACATTCAAACGGTTTCTCTCCTGTGTGAATCCTCTGGTGTCGAACCAGACTGGAATTCTGACTGAAACTTTTCCCACAGTCAGGACATTCAAAGGGTTTTTCTCCTGTGTGAATACTCTGGTGTTTCACCAGGCTGGAATTGCGACTGAAACTTTTCCCACAGTAAGGACATTCAAAGGGTTTTTCTCCTGTGTGAATCCTCTGGTGTTTCAATAGGCTGGAATTCTGACTGAAACTTTTCCCACAGTCAGGACATTCAAAGGGTTTTTCTCCTGTGTGAGTCCTCTGGTGTTTCACCAGGCTGGAATTGTGACTGAAACTTTTACCACAATCAGGACACTCAAAGGGTTTATCTCCTGTGTGAGTCTTCTGGTGGCCGATGAGGTTGGAATGCTGACGGAAACTTTTCCCACAGTCAGGACATTCAAAGGGTTTTTCTCCTATGTGAATCCTCTGGTGTGTTACAAGGCTGAAATTGGTACTGAAACTTTTTCCACAATCGGAACATTCAAAGGGTTTTTCTCCTGTGTGAATCCTCTGGTGTGTTACAAGGCAGAAATTGGTACTGAAACTTTTACCACAATCGGAACATTCAAAGGGTTTCTCTCCTGTGTGAGTCTTCTGGTGGCCGATGAGGTTGGAATGCTGACGGAAACTTTTCCCACAATCGGAACATTTAAAGGGTTTTTCTCCTGTGTGAATCCTCTGGTGTTGAACCAGGTTGAAATTCTGACTAAAACTTTTCCCACAGTCAGGACATTTAAAGGGTTTTTCTCCTGCGTGAGTCTTCTGGTGGCCGATGAGGTTGGAATGCTGACGGAAACTTTTCCCACAGTCAGGACATTCAAAGGGTTTTTCTCCTGTGTGAATCCTCTGGTGTGTTACAAGGCTGAAATTGGTACTGAAACTTTTACCACAATCGAAACATTCAAACGGTTTCTCTCCTGTGTGAATCCTCTGGTGTCGAACCAGGTGGGAATTCTGACTGAAACTTTTCCCACAGTCAGGACATTCAAAGGGTTTTTCTCCTGTGTGAATACTCTGGTGTTTCAGCAGGTTGAAATTCTGACTGAAACTTTTCCCACAGTCAGGACATTCAAAGGGTTTTTCTCCTGTGTGAGTCCTCTGGTGTTTCACCAGGGTGGAATTCGTACTGAAACTTTTACCACAATCAGAACATTCAAACGGTTTCTCTCCTGTGTGAATCCTCTGGTGTCGAACCAGGTTGGAATTCTGACTGAAACTTTTCCCACAATCAGGACATTCAAAGGGTTTTTCTCCTGTGTGAATACTCTGGTGTTTCACCAGGCTGGAATTGTGACTGAAACTTTTCCCACAGTCAGGACATTCAAAGGGTTTTTCTCCTGTGTGAGTCCTCTGGTGTTTCACCAGGCTGGAATTGTGACTGAAATTTTTACCACAATCAGGACACTCAAAGGGTTTCTCTCCTGTGTGAGTCCTCTGGTGACCGATGAGGTTGGAATGCTGACGGAAACATTTCCCACAGTCAGGACATTTAAAGGGTTTTTCTCCTGTGTGAATCCTCTGGTGTGTTACAAGGCTGAAATTGGTACTGAAACTTTTACCACAATCGGAACATTCAAAGGGTTTCTCTCCTGTGTGAATCCTCTGGTGTTGAACCAGGTTGAAATTCTGACTGAAACTTTTCCCACAGTGAGGACATTCAAAGGGTTTTTCTCCTGTGTGAATACTCTGGTGTGTTACAAGGCTGAAATTGGTACTGAAACTTTTTCCACAGTCAGGACATTCAAAGGGTTTTTCTCCTGTGTGAATCCTCTGGTGTTTCACCAGGCTGGAATTCTGACTGAAACTTTTCCCACAGTCAGGACATTTAAAGGGTTTTTCTCCTGCGTGAATCCTCTGGTGTGTTACAAGGCTGAAATTGTGACTGAAACTTTTACCACAATCAGGACACTCAAACAGTTTCTCTCCTGTGTGAGTCCTCTTGTGGCCGATGAGGTTGGAATGCTGACGGAAACTTTTCCCACAGTAAGGACATTTAAAGGGTTTTTCTCCTGTGTGAATCCTCTGGTGTGTCATGAGGCTGAAATTGGTACTGAAACTTTTCCCACAGTCAGGACATTCAAAGGGTTTTTCTCCTGTGTGAATACTCTGGTGTTTCACCAGGCTGGAATTGTGACTGAAACTTTTCCCACAGTCAGGACATTCAAAGGGTTTTTCTCCTGTGTGAGTCCTCTGGTGTTTCACCAGGCTGGAATTGTGACTGAAACGTTTACCACAATCAGGACACTCAAAGGGTTTATCTCCTCTGTGAGTCCTCTGGTGGCCGATGAGGTTGGAATGCTGACGGAAACTTTTCCCACAGTCAGAAGATTTAAAGGGTTTTTCTCCTGTGTGAATCCTCTGGTGTGTTACAAGGCTGAAATTGGTACTGAAACTTTTACCACAATCGGGACATTCAAAGGGTTTTTCTCCTGTGTGAATCCTCTGGTGTTGAACCAGGTTGAAATTTTGACGGAAACTTTTCCCGCAGTCAGGACATTCAAAGGGTTTTTCTCCTGTGTGAATCCTCTCGTGTGTCACCAGGCTGGAATTCTGACTGAAACTTTTCTCAGATCCAGGAAATTCCAATGGTTTCTCTCCTGTATGAGTGCTCTGGTGTGAAATGAGGTAAGAATTTTGACTTAAACTATCCTCAGAATTAGGACATTTAAAGGGCTTCTTCCCTGTGTGAATCCTCTGGTGTATCACCAGGTTGGAATTATCGCAGAAACATTTCCCACAATCAGGACATTCAAACAGTTTCTCCTTGGTGTCAGTCCACGTTGCCATGCTTCCTAAAGAATTTACTGCATTGGGAGCACTTCTAGGGCTTCTCTCCTGTGTGGGTCCTTCCAAGAACCACAATGGAGGTGTTCTGATCAGAGGTTTTGCCACATTTAGAGTATTGTATGGCTCTTCTCCAGTCGGGATCCTCTCAGGCATAATCAGCTGTGATTTACAAGTTGTATCTTTCCCACAACATGCACATCTATGTAGCTTTTCCACAACTCATATTCCTTTGGAGGTCAAAAATATGGATGATCCCTTGTTTAGCAGTGCTTTTATTCAAGCCGTTTTCTTCCTCCCAGAGTGGGCCTGCAACTCTGTCTGCTCTACGTGGTTTTCCAATTGATCTTTTCCTCCCCAGTAACTTCCAGATATTTCCCTCTTTTGTCCAATGGAAAAATAATCTCCCTTGACTTTTCATGTAATGTATGCTTGAATTTCACACCCTGCTTTTCCCAGCTAGAAATCTCTTCCTGATTTTCTCTCGTTTCCCTAGGTAGAAAAGAATTGTGTGACTCTGAAGGAAATGGAAAATATTTTGATTTCTGGACTGACTTGCTTTGGTGTTCAATGTTGCTTGTTATCCTCAGTTGTCCAGAGTGCTCATTGCCATCTTCTTTGTCTATAAGATTCAAATAAAAATGTATCTTTAATTGTGCACAAAATGGCTGCAGAAGATGAGAAAAAAAAGAAAAAAGGGTTACACTACAATGAAAAAGCAAACATGCCACAATACTCAAAGAAGCTCTTACATTAATCATGACACATGGAAGACTACCCAGATCCAAGTTCGAATATCCATTCAATGATGAAATTCCCTTGTTGACTCGGTCAATCACAAATTCTTAGCAGTGCAAGCGGTTATTTTCACATACAGTCAAGTGAAAAAGAAAGTACATTCTCTTTCATTGAATTTTATGAATTTACTTATCAGATGATGTGGTATTCATCTTAGAACAACCAGCACAAACAGGAACAAAATTGTTGGCTAAAATAGAAGAGTATGGAAGAGTGGCCGGACTAAAAATTAATAAACAAAAAACAAAGGTGTTAGATCGGCGCTGGAAAGAAAAGCAACTCAGCTCTGGTCCGTTCGGCTCTTTATTAGAATGGTGAAAAACAGATTGCTGGCAGTGGCTCCCGAGCCTCCTTATATTCTGCTCGGGCCAGCCAGCCAGCCAATGACAGCTGTTCAAACTTCCCACCGGTGGAAGTGACCAATCCCCCGGCGGATGTCCTTATAAGGACATAACACCCTCCCCTCTTAGTCCTCAGTCAATCATTCCGTGGCGTGAGTCACGTAGTCGCGCAGGTAGGCGGGATGGACAATGGTCCTACCTGACCTGCGCGGTACAGTTCGTTCTCCGGTGCTGCTCCCGACGGGGCTGGCTCCTGCTGGTACTCGTCTCCCCAGTGGGCAGTCCCGGAAATCGGCCATTGAGTGTGCGGGGCCTCGCCTAGCGCCTCCAGCTGGAGTGGCCGGCTCGCCCCACGGCTGGTGGATTACCTCATCGCTGCCAGGATGATGTTGGGTCAGTTCCTGTCGTTCGTCGCGGAATCGGACTGGACAGCTGAATCCCGGTAGGACCCTTGGTTGTTTCTTTTGGTCTCTGGCTTGCTTCTGTGGGCTTCCCCGGTCGATTGTGGCGGGGTCGCCCCCCCAGCTGCAGGGCTGGCGTTGGGTCCTCTCGGTGTGGTGGCGCCAGTCAACATTGCTGGGGTGGTGGTGGCCGACTCTGCCGGGTTGGTGTGGACACGGAGGGGTGGATGGTTGATGTCCTACCTCACTGTGCTGGTGTAGGTCTCCCTCGTCTGGCTGGCTGATGTCGACTCGGTCGGATTGGTGTTGGTTTTCCGGGTCAGGTTGTCCCTGGTCTACCTCGTCCTGATACTGGTGATGCCATGTTTCAGAGGGTCGCTGGCCATCGTTGCCTTTGGCTTGGTGCCTCGTTCCGCTGGGTCGGCCCTGGCCTACTGGGCTCTGGCTGCGCTGCTGGCGGTCGTCCCCTTCGCCGTGAGGTTGCGGACCTACCCTGTGGGGGTGGGGTAGGCCTACCTCGCAGGGGTGTTGTAGGTCGACCTCGTCTGGGTATGGCAGGCCTACCTCACTGGGGGGTGGTAGGTCTACCTCGACGGGGTGTTGTAGGTCTACCTCGTCTCGGTGTGGCAGTCCTACCTCATCGGGGTGGTTTTCTTCGACTCCCCTCACCCTTTTGCGGAGTTGGTCGATGTGCCTTCTGCATGACCGGCCATCATCCAGCTCCACCTCGTATGATCTTGGGCCCGTCACTCTCCCAATCCGACCCATGATCCATTTCGGCTGGCCCTGAAAGTTGAGCGCGAACACCAAGTCTCCGCTAGCGAAGCTTTGTGTCGGTAGTGAGTTAATCGGCTTGTCTTTCGGGTTGTACTGTGGATGGAGTCTATCTAGCGGTGAGTGGAGCCTTCTCCCCATCAGAAGCTCGGCTGGGCTTTTCTTCGTTGTGGCGTGCGGTGTGATGTGTTGTGCCAGCAGGAACTTGTCGATTTGTTCCTGCCAGTCTCCTGGGCCCATCCTGGTGAGTGTGTCCTTCGTGAGCCGTACCATTTTTTCTGCTTGTCCATTTCCAGCTGGCCTGTACGGGGCGATGAGGGCATGCCGGATGCCTTGGCTTGCCAGGAAATCCTCCATGGTCTTGGCTGTGAGTTGCGGGCCATTGTCGGAGACCAGGATGTCCGGCAGCCCGTGTGTGGCGAATAGGCGGCGGAGTGCCCTGATGGTGGCCTCTGTCGTGGTGGACGGCATCGCGATGACCTCCAGCCATTTTGAGAACGCATCCACGACGATGAGGAGGGACTTTCCGTTCATTGGCCCCGCGAAGTCGATATGTATTCTTGACCACGGGCCGCTGGGCTGCTCCCACTCAGTCGGCTGGGCTTGAGGGGGTGCTGGTCTCGTCGCTTGGCACGGGTCACACTAGCGATCCACGCCTCTATGTCTTTGTCCAAGGTGGACCACCAAACGTAGCTCCGTGCCAGCGCCTTCATGCGAACTATGCCCGGATGGCCGCTATGGAGGGTTTCTAAGGTGCTCTTCTGTAGTGTGGGAGGGATCACGACCTGGTCACCCCAGAGGAGGCAGCCGTTCATGGTGGCCAGTTCGTGCTGCCTCCGTATGAATGGGGTGAATTCTTCGCCCACTCTTCCGGTTGGCCAACCCCTCAACGTCCATGAGAGTACCTGTTTGAGGGTCTTGTCCCTCAGTGTGTAGCTCGCCACCATTGCAGATGACACCGGGCACGTCTGATCATTGTCTATGTGGTGAAGTCCAAGGGTAGGTGCCGGGTCAATGACTGGTTCTCGCAGGGGGCATCTGCTGAGGCCGTCAGCATTGCCGATGTTCTTGCCGGGGCGATGGATGAGTCTGTAGGCATAGCCGGAGAGGAAGATGGTCCAGCGTGTCATCCTGAGCGACATGTAGGGTGGCGTTGGCTTGTCCCCGGCGAGCAGTCCAAGTAGAGGCTTGTGATCGGTGACAATTGTAAACGACCTTCCATACAGGTATTCATGGAAGCATTTAATGCCGGCTATGATGGCGAGGGCTTCCTTATCGAGCTGGCTGTAGTTCCGCTCCGCTGATGACATGGTTTTGGAGAAGTAAGCAATGGGGGCTTCGGTGCCACTGGGCACCTGGTGGCTGAGGACAGCTCCGACTCCATATGGTGAGGCGTCACAGGTCAGGATCAGTGGGAGCGACTCATGGTATTGGATGAGGACGCTGTCGGAGGAGAGAAGACTTTTGATTTTCCGGAATGCTGCCTCTTCTTCCTCTTCCCACTTCCAGGGTACTGCCTTCCCTAGCAGGCGGTGGAGTGGTTCAGCAACGGTGGTTTTCTGGTTCAGAAAAACACTATAAAAATTCAGCAGACCCAGAAAGGCCTGAAGCTCCGTTTTTGATTTGGGGGCTGGAGCCTTGTGTATAGCCCTGACCTTGCTTTTGGTGGGGTGGATGCCCTTGCTATCGATTAGATAGCCCAGGAACTCGACCTCCTGGACCCCAACAACGCATTTGTCCCTTTTAACTCTTAGGCCCTTCGCCTGGAACCGCTGTAGGGCAAGCCTGAGCCGTTCCATCAGTTGGGCTTCCGAGTTTCCAGAGATTAATATGTTGTCGAAGTAAGGTACCACCCCAGGAATGCCTTAGAGAAGGCGTTCCATCATTGATTGAAAAATTCCCGGGGCGGCGCTGACTCCAAATTGGAGACGGTTGCACTTAAAAGCCCCCCTGTGTGTGACGATTGTTTGTGCCTCCGCAGTCCTTTCGTCTACTGGCAATTGCTGGTAAGCCTGGGCCAGGTCCAGTTTCGCGAAAATGGTTCCGCTGCCAAGCGAATGCAACAGATGTTGCACCACTGGCACGGGATATGCGCTCTGCGGCAGTGCCCGGTTGATGGTACACTTATAGTTGGCGCAGATGCGCACAGATCCATCATGCTTCATGGGAGTCACAATGGGGGTCTCCCATGCCGCATGATCAATCGGTTCCAGAATGCCCTGGGCAATTAATTTATCTAGCTGGGCATCCACCTTAGGTCTGAGGGCAAATGGAACTCTGCGGGGCTTGAGCCGAATGGGTACAATTTTGGGGTCTAAATTGAAAGAAATGGGTTTCCCCAGAAATTTACCTAGGCTCCCATCGAAGACGTCCTTGAAGTCCTCTAAGAGCTGGTCAACTGCGCTAGCCTGAATTTTGTTGATTCCGCCAATCGTGAGCCCTAGGGGCTTGAACCACTCCACGCCTAGTAGGGTTGGACGGGCTTCCTTGACGACGGCGATGGGGAGGCGTCCTTCGAAGTCCTTGAACTTCACCCAGATGTTGGTCCATTCCCAGGATGCCGATGGAGTGCCCTCCGAAATCCACCAACCTCGCTTAGAATGGCTCTAGCTGTTTCCTGGATAGCCGCGGTTGAAGTCTTTTTAGCTGGTCCCAGGCTATGATGGAGTACGGTGAGCCTGAGTCTATTTCCATGGGGCATGGGGCCCCTTCCACGTAAATGGTCACGTGGAACTTGTCGGACCCCTCTGCTGCAGCGTGTGCAATTGTTGTCTGGTGGATCCCTCTGCTCTTGGGGTGGCTGTCGCCGTCTCGCCGCGGATACTGGGACCGTTTGGATGTCCTCTGGTATTCGCGGTCCGTGGGTCTGGGAGGCTCAAAACTTGGCTCTGCTGCCCTGCAGGCTTCCGCAATGTGGCCCTTCCTCTGGCAGCGTCTGCAAGTTGCATCCCGCCAGCGACATCTGGCGCGAGGATGGTCCCCTTTGCAGCTGGCACAATGTTCCTCCCGTCCACCATCTTGGGGTTTTTCCCGCCGTTGGAGTCTTGTGACCTTATGGATGGCCATCTCAGAGTCAGAGTCCAACCCCGTGGAGGTCTCGTCCGATGATGGCTGTGGGTTCCTGCGGACCTTGTGGATCCCCTTGGATCTTCTCATTGCGGCTGCTGCCCTATCAGAGGACTCGGCGGCTGTGGCTTCCTCAATGACCTCTTTTAGGGACACTTTCTTTCGGCTGAGGAGCTTTTTCTGTACTGTGCTGTCCCTCATGCCAAAGACGATGCGGTCCCGCAGCTGAACGTCCATGTTTTCAAATTCGCAGCTGGCCGTGATCTTCCGGAGCGCTGAAACGAATTCCTTGACTGATTCTCCTTCTGCTTGATTTCTCTGGTGGAAGTCAAATCGGTTGGCCAGAGGCGTGCTTACTGGGGCGTAATGGTCCTGGAGCACTTCCTGTAGCTCGGACCACGGCATCTGCTAGATATCCAGCGGTACCACAAGGTCCATGGCCATTTCCAGGACCTCCGACCCGCAGTGCGCCAGGAAGAGAGCCCTCTTTCTGCTGTCATCTAGGTCTGTGAAGCCGCTTCCCGCCAGGAACTGCCTGAAGCGAACCATGAAGGACTTCCATTTCTCAGTGCTCGGGTTGAATGGAGCCATTGAGATTTGTGGTCCAGACATGGTAGTGACTTACCTCGTGCTTCAGCTCTTTGCTTAAGGTGGCAGTTGACTTGCAGCTCTTCGTCGGTTCTTCTCTAGTCCTTCGTCGCCAGTGTTAGATCGGCGCTGGAAAGAAAAGCGACTCAGCACTGGTCCGTTCAGCTCTTTATTAGAATGGTGAAAAACAGACTGCTGGCAGTGGCTCCCGAGCCTCCTTATATTCTGCTCGGGCCAGCCAGCCAGCCAATGACAGCTGTTCAAACTTCCCACCGGTGGAAGTGACCAATCTCCTGGCGGATGTCCTTATAAGGACATAACAAAAGGCATTAACGAAGAACCTTACAAACCTACAGGAAAAAGAATTGGAAGATAAATTAGGAATACAAATAGTAAAAAAAGTAAAATATTTAGGAATTTGGCTTTCCAACAAAGGGTCAACATTTAGGGAGGATAATTAGAATAAATTGGCAAAACAGATAAAAAAAAGACCTAGAAATATGGAGTAAGTTACAGCTATCATTTCTAGGAAGAATTGCATCCATTAAAATGAATGTATTACCTAGAATACTATATTTATTCCAAGTAATTCCGATAAGCCCAGGAAAAGATTTTTTCAAAGACTTCAATAAAATGATTGCAGACTATATTTGGCAAGGATTGCTATATTTGGATTGGGGGTGGGAGGCACCATGTTGCGGTGGTTCTCCTCCTATCTCTCCGACCGCAGTCTGTGTTGGCAGGGGGGCAGAGGTCGACCTCGAGGTGCCTTGTTTGTGGGGTGCTACAAGGGTCGGTCCTCTCGCCACTCCTGTTCAACATTTATGTGAAGCCGCTGGGTGAGATCATCCGTGGATTTGGGGTGCGATGCCATTTGTATGCTGATGACACTCAGCTGTACATCTCCACCCCAAATCACCCCAACGATGCCCTTGAAGTGATGTCCCAGTGTCTGGAGGCCGTGTGGGTCTGGATGGGGATGAACAGGCTTCGACTCAACCCTTGCAAGACCGAGTGGCTGTGGATGCCAGCATCCCGATATAGCCAGCTGGTGTCATCGCTGGCTATTGGGGGCGAGTCATTGACCCCCACAGAGGGGGCTCGCAACTTGGGTGTCCTCCTGGACACACGGCTGTCTTTAGAAGAGCACATGACGGCCGTGGCCAGGGGGGCTTTTTATCAGGTTCGCCTGATACGCCAGTTGCGCCCCTTTCTGAGTCGGGATTCCTTATGCACAGTCACTCATGCTCTCGTCACTTCTCCCCTGGACTACGCCAAGGCTCTCTACATGGGGCTCCCCTTGAGGAGCACCCGGAGGCTCCAACTGGTCCAGAATGCGGCCGCGCGGGTGATTACGGGAGCGACATGGCACTCCCATATAACACCTCTCCTGCGCGAGCTGCACTGGCACCCGGTGGTCTTCCGGGTGCGCTTCAAGGTGTTGGTTCTCACCTTTAAAGCAGTCCATGGCTTAGGGCCAAGGTATTTACGAGACCGCCTTCTGCTACCGATAACCTCCCACTGGCCAATACGCTCTCACAGAGAGGGCCTCCTCAGGGTGCCGTCGGTCAAGCAATGTCGGCTGGCAGCCCCCAGGGGGAGAGCCTTCTCTGTGGGAGCACCCGCCCTCTGGAACGAGCTACCTCCTGGATACGGCTGATTCTGGATCTCCGCACTTTCCGTAAGGCCCTGAAAACGTTTTTATTTCAGCAAGCCGGACTGGCCTGAATAGGTTTTATGGGTTAGTTTTTTAATTGTATAGCTAGGGATTTTAAATTGTGGAGGCCGTTTAATTTAATTTATTTTTAATTATCTTAACTTTTATATTGTATATTATTTTAATTCTCGGCTGTTCACCCCCCTGAGTCCCTTCGGGGAGAAGGGCGGGATATAAATTAAATAAATAAATAAATAAATAAATAAATAAATAAATAAATAAATAAATAAATAAATAAATAATAAGGCAAGAAAGTAAGAATCAAACTAAAACATCTCCAGGACATACGAGAGAAAGGCGGATTAGGACTACCAGATTGGCAAACATACTATAAAGCAACATCACTAATTTGGATAAGAAATTGGATAGAATTTAAAAACAAAAGGATATTAACATTAGAGGGGTTTGACCTACAAAGAGGCTGGCATGCATTCTTATGGGAGGGAAGAGATAAACATCATGGATATTTTCAAAGCCACATTATTAGAGGACCTTTGCTTAAAACGTGGCAAGAGATCAAAAAAATGCATTATTTATTTATGTATTGGACTTGTATGCCGCCCTTCTCCCAAAGGACTCAGGGCGGCTCACAACACTAAGAACAGAAAATACAAAAGTTAAAAGACAAATTCAAGGAGAATATCCAATAAATAAGGTTAAACGTGGGAATACAAATTCAAATGTAAGATTTAGGAATTTTAAAAGCTACAAAATCAGTTTAGAGTCAACCCAGGCCCGCCCGTTGGAAGAGCCAGGTCTTCAAGGCCCGACGGAAGGTTCGGAGGTCTGGGATTATCCGGAGCTCCAGGGGTAACATATTCCAGAGGGTAGGGGCTCCCACAGAGAAGGCTCTCCCCCTAGGGGTCACCAGTCGACATTGTCTAGCCGAATGTACCCTAAGGAGGCCAACTCTGTGGAAGCGGACCGGGCGATGGAAGGCTACCGGTGGCAGGAAGAAAAAGTGCAGAGGAGAGCAACCAGGATGCTTAGGGGACTGGAGACTAAAACATATGAAGAACTGGGCATGGCTGGTGTACTGAAGAAAAGGACCAGGAGAGATATGATAGCAGTCTTCCAATATTTGAGGGGCTGCTACAGAGAGGAAATGGGAAACATTCAGGACAGTTGCCAATCTTCCCAGGACTGGACATCCAAGAAAATTCATCCCAAGGCCAGACCATGCAATGGCCAGAGAAATTACTAAAAAAACAAAGAGTTATATCACAGACTCTACAGGCTTCAGTTAGCATGTTAAATGTTAAGATTCATAACAGTGCAATTAGAAAAAGACTGGACAAGTATGGTTTGTTTGGAAGGGTTGTGAGGAGAAACCCTCTTTTCTCTAAAAAAGTCATAGAAGCACGGCTGAGGTTTGCAAAGTTGCATCTGAACAAATCACATGACTTCTGGAACACTGACCAGACCAAAGTGGTACCAAAGTATTCTAGAGTCAAAAGTGAGGCCATCTGTCCAATAGCTAAAGCTTGGCTGACATAGGATTATGCAACAGGACAATGGACACAAAACACATCAGCAAATCTACAACAGAATGGCTGGAAAAGAAAAGAATCAAGGTGTTGCAATGGCAATCAAAGTCCAGACCTCAACCCAATTGGCGGGACTTCAAGAGAGTTGTGCATAAAAAAACACCCACAAATCTCAATGAACTGAAGCAATGTTGTAAAGGAGAATGGGCCAAAATTCCTCCACAACGCTCAAGAGACTGATTAAAGTCATATAGAATAGAATTACTTCTAGTTGTTGCTGCTAAAGGTGGTTCTCCAAATTATTAAATCATACTTTTTTTACACATAACTTCTCTGTTTTGGCTTTCTTTTTATAAAATAAAAGATGACCTGATGTAACATGTCATGTGTTGTTGTTCTCTTGTGGTTGTATTAACCTACCTTTAAGAACTTCTAAGGACCAATTGATTTTTACTATGTCCCAATATATATAATCATAGAAGTCAAGAAAAGTGTACTTTTTTTCACATGACTGTTTATCTGGAAGTCCTGGGGAGAGATTATGCATTTGGAGATATACATATTCAGAGAGAAATAATACGGACACCTACAATATGGAGAAAATCAATGTCTTTCAAGCCTGAAAAATATCTCCATCATACCTTCTGTGCTAATGTGAATTCTGACCAGGATGCCTTGCGCACGGTCACTCACGCCCTTGTCACCTCCTGTCTGGACTATTGTAATGCTCTCTACATGGGGCTCTCCATGAAGAGCACTTGGAGGCTCCAACTGGTCCAGAATGCGGCCACCTTCTGCCACCAACAGCCTCCCACTGACCAGTTTGCTCCCACAGAGAGGGACTCCTCAGGGTACCGTCGGCCAAGTTATGTCAGCTGGCGACACCCAGGAGGAGAGCCTTCTCTGTGTGAGCTCCTGCCCTCTGGAATGAATTGCCCCCGGATATTCGTAACATCTCTGACCTCTGGGTTTTTCGCTGTGCCCTCAAGACCCTACTGTTCCAACAAACGGGGCTGTCAAATTGATTGAATTTAACTTGGGTCTTAATTTTGGGTTTTAAAATTCAGCCAAAATTATTTAATGATTTTAATTAATTTTAACTAGGATATTATATATTTGTATATTTGTATTTTAATTCTGGCTGTACACTGCCCCGAGTCCTTCGGGAGAATGGGCAGTATATAAATAAAATTATTATTATTATTATTATTATTATTATTATTATTATTATTATTATTATTATTATTATTATTATTATTAATCAGGGATCTGATCAATTTGATGTTTGCTCTAAGAGCCGAAGTTCAGGACTCAACAGTCTCCTGAGGCCATGGAAAGGTTCACAGGAAACCACTAGCCTATCTGTTAGGCACATGACCAAAATCATAGAAGGCATGCTTGCCTATTTTTATAATTTTTATTATTTCTATATTTCTATACTTTATCTGTCGTGTCCCAGCTGCCTCTTATGTAATGAAGTGAAAGCAAAGAAATGTATAAATATCTGCCTTTCACTATGCTCAGGGTTCCTTCCTTCTTAGGAGGGACCCATCTTTATTAAGGTGAAGAAATGTGTTCGCTTATCAACAAACACACTTGAACTCTCTTTTATTTTATTGAGCCACACCTGACAATCTGCATGACACTAACTTGACAGATGTGGGGACTTTAACTGACCAAATGAGGCCTAAAGCCTCTGCAAGATTTGAAGCACCAGTTATGCCCATGGAAGCCATGAACTCCAAGTAAAGACAGAAAATGCTTTCCACAACCCCTTTGGTGACATCCCAATTGAAGTAGTCCTCACTTACTGACTGCAATTGTGTCACTAAGCATTTTATTTCCAGCTCCTTTCTCCTGGCTTGGAACCCGACCGGATTTTTCTTCCTACAATTTGTTTAGATTTTAACGTGTATGTATTATTTTCTGCCTCTAAGCCGCCCACAGTTATGTCATGGTAAGGTTGGTGGCCAATACATTTTATAAATAAATAAATAAAACTGAACAGTCAAAACATTCAATAGCTAGTTTTTAAAAAGTGCTGGGTTAAGCACAGTTGAACCTGGTGAATACGCGGATGGGGGCACTAATAGGAAAACACGGTGCTTGTTAGCTAGAAATGGAAGCAAAACAAGACTCTCCTCCCACCTGCAGCCCTCCACTCACCTGCCAGCTGCTGCTCCGACCATGGAAACAGCAGAAAAGCCGCTCTGCACACCAACTTCCTCCCATCAGTCATCCGGAAGAGGAAGTTCCTCTGCGCCTCTCCTCTCCTTCCATCCTTTCTAGCAATGCAGTACTCAATGGTTTAAAACTCCTTTTTTAAGCGCAATCAGGGATGGCACCATTGAATTGATGGCTTTCTAGGCACAGACGTTGCCTGACTGCCATCTAGCGACAGGAGGTGGTAAAACACGCCTGTCCATTCTCTACCAAGGCTTTTGGGAGATGTTTTCCGACTCCTAGCAGCCGACCTTTGCAACTGAGCCAAGTGAAAAAGTGAAACGTGACGCTACTTAGCTTCGTATTTGGTGCCTTTGGGTCAGTCTTGATGCCTGGCCTTGCAGTTTCCTAGGCAAAGGTTTTGGAAGTGGTTCCCTCCTTTTCCTGCTTCGTAGGCCTGCTTACTTCCTTCCATGTGGGGATAGCTCCATTGAGGATTACACGTTGAGTACGATTTGTCAAGCAGTTAGAAACTCACTTTCTATAGCATTTCTCTGGTTCACTAATTGTCAAAGAATGAAATAAAGTTTGTTTGGCATGATCTGTTTTTGATCAACCCATGTTGGCTACTGGTTATAACTTGTTTGCTTCTGGGTGTTCACAGATTTGTTGCCTGGATATGTTTTCCAAGATGTTACCAGGTATTAATGTCAGGCTGATCTGTCTGTAATTTCCTGGACGAGTTTATTTTACCTGTTTTGAAGATGGGAACCACATCAGCTCTTTTCCAGTCCTCAGTTACAGGTAATCCTGAATTTACCACCACAATTGAGTCCAAAATTTATGTTCTTAAGTGAGGAATTTGTTAAGTGAGTTTTGCCCCATTGTACTACTTTTCTTGCCTCATTTGTTAAGTGAATCCTTGCTATTATTAAATTAGTAATACGATTATAGCACAGTCGTTAAGTGAATCTGATTTCCCAATTGACTTTGCTTGTCAGTAGGTCACAAAAGAAGATCACATGACTCTGGAACACTGCAACAGTCATAAATGTGAATCAGTTGTCGAACATCCGAATGTAAATGACATGACCATGGGGATGCTACCATGTTTTCCTGAAAATAAGACTCTGTCTTATATTTTTTTGAACCCCGAAATAGGGGCTTGGCCTTGTTTTCGGGGGGGGGGAGATGTCTTATTATTTTCAGGGTGCAGGAGGCCCTGGGCAGCCTTAGCGCTCACAGCAGGGGGTCTGGCAGAGAGAGGGTCCTTCTGCGTGCCGCCATCAAGCCCCTCCCCTTCTGCAAGTGTGTGTGGAACATGAGCAGCCTGAAGGCGCCAAGCTGCGGGAACACTTGTGTCCCTTTGCTCACGTGCCTCCCAGGCCTCACCACATCGATGTGGCTGACTATCCATCAGGGCTGCGGCTCCCTTTGCCCATCATCGCCTCTCTGCCCCGGCTGCCCACAAAGCAGGGGTTTCCAGCTGGGCTTTTGAAGCTGCAGAGGCAGAGTTTAGAGGAGAGAAAGAAAGACTTCTGCTGCTTTCTTTGTGTGCAACCAGCCAGCAGAAGCAACAGAAGTCTTTCTTTCTCTCCCACAAACTCCGCTTCTGTGGCTTCCAAACTCCAGCCAGGGCAGCGGCTGCTCTGGAAGTGTGCTTCCCGCTCTATGGTGATAGTTACTGGAGGCCTCTCCTTTCCCCCCTGCTCGTCTCCACTCCAGAGGGTTGGGTGGGGTGGAGAGAATATTGCTGCCAGCCCTGGATAACTCTCCAAGGTTGGATTGTAGATATCTCTCTCTCTCTCTCTCTCTCACACACACACACACACACCGTTCTTTCCTTGCAATCAGAGCAAAGACAGCCCTTCCAGGATTGCAAGGCTGAAGCCTCCGGATGGAGCATTTTGGAGATGTGTGTCTGTGCTGCGATCCCAAGTAAAGAACAATCGGCAGGAAAAGGGGGAGGAGGCTGGCAGCTGGGAAGGTGCTCTGGAGATCTGGGTTGCTCAGCTGATCAGCGGGCAGCAATTAAGGGGCTGAACCTCCATGAGGTGACTGGGGAAGGGAAGGGCTGCCTCCTGCTTGCCACCCCCAAACCTTCACTGGGGCTTATTTTGGGGGGAGGGTGTATATTTAGGCTTGATAAGGTTTCTGGCACCAAGAAAGCAGCCCTGAGAGGCTGCATGTGGCCTGTCGGGCCTTCTTTCCTGTCACCAAAGTGCTTGAGGATTGCGACTCTTTAGGCTTCGGCAGCCCTTTTCAAAAATTCTTTCCCTGTAGGAGTAGGGTTTCGTAGGAACACGCCTGCTCCTCCCAAGCTCTGCTGCTGCCAACAAAAGCGTTTTGTATATTGCTGCCAAAGCCTACATGAAGGCAATCTCCCTGCAGGCTTTGGCAACGAAACAGCAAATGGAGGGAAAGCCTGAAGGAATGTCTCAATTTGCAGAGAATAAATAGAGACCTAAAGGGCGAGATCGTATGAGATCAGTAGCACAAACTCCCATGCTACTTATCTCACATGATCTCACAGTATTTGTGTAACTTCAAATGTTGGCTAAGGGAACGCTTGTAACCCAGGGATTACCTGTATTTCAATTTGCATTCGTAACCTGTCATTTACTGTTCTGTTTTTGGTAAGTTGAATCAGGTTTTCTTTTTCGGAAAAAACACAAGTTTCTTCTTTGTACCTTCTTCCCGCTTCTTATACTCCTGTGAATTAGGGCGATGTCTGTCTGAGTCTCTTCTGCATAGGATCCACACGCTGCTTACTTGAGAGATGTTTTTTAAAAAAAATTGTACATGGTGGAACCGTCTTGACGATATCTCCGCTTTATAAACTATAACATAAGTCACTTATGTATTCAATATACATTACTACTAATTATATACACATACCTAACCTCTTATACACACTTACATACTATATTACATATATTGCCTTTTGTTTCAATCTATGCCTCCTTGTTCTTACTCGTTCCAAATTCTATTCCTTAAGTCTAACCATTGATAAACCTATTCCAAATCTCATAGTATTCTGTCTCTCCTTTATTTTTCAGTTCTAGCTTCAGTATATCACATTCTGCACAATCAAGTATTTTCTTTATTATTTCCCTTTCTTTAAGTATGTTTTCACTCTTCCACTGTTGCGGATAAACTATTCTTGCCGCTGTTATGATATGTAATATTATAGAATTCTTTATTGGCCAATGACACAAAAGGATTTTGTCTTGGTGCATCCATCAAAGAAAGGGACTGAATGACTTGGCATTAAATTCACAGATTTAAACTGAAGAGTGGGGACAGAGAATTAATTGATACAGAACATTTCTATCCCCAGCATTCTAAAATTAATAGGGTTATCAGTGCATGTAACATAGATGTTTGTGCGAGTAAGATTACCAACCTTGCTGTCAAGCAAAACCAAGAATTTAATAGTGAGTGACATACCATGTGCACTAATCAAACAGGTGGCAAGAAAATAGGGGCAGTCAGGAACAACACAGATTACGTAGATAGTAAACACAGGGTCAATCAAAATGGACTCAAATGTCTATGTCAATGCACAGAGTATGAGGAATAAACAGAGTGAATTGGAAATTCAAGTAAATGAAAGCAGATATGATATTGCTGCCATTACAAAAGCGTGGTGGATATGAAACCAACAAATGGAATATACAGTTAGAGGTATTTAAATATTTAAAAGAAATAGACCAAATAAAAGAGGAAGTGGAGTTGCACTATATATAAGAAATAACTACATTTCTACAGAAATAGAGCACAACAATGATGAAAATTATCTTGAATGCATTTGGGTCAATATTAAAAGGGAAAAAATGGCATTGCCGTAGACTATAGGCCACCCAACCAACCAGAGGAAATAGATGAACTTTTTGCTAGTCAGCTAACTAAGGTATGTAGGAAGCACATCACAATAGTAATGGGGGAGTTTAACTATCCTGACATCGACTGGGAGACAAAGTCTGCGCCAAGTGGAAGATCCAACAGGTTCCTAACAAACCTAGCAGACAACTTTGTTTCCCAAAAAGTAGAGAAGGGAACAAGGGTATCATCCATATTGGACTTAATTGTCATGAACAGAGATGAAATAATAGAAGGTGTTGAAGCTACAGGAACCTTGGGAGTAAGTGATCATGCAATATTGGAATTCAACATTATGCAAGCACAAGTAGTAGAACAAAGTCAAACTAGAGTCTTGGACTTTAAGAGAGTTAATTTCAATACACTTAGAGCTTGGGAAGGATTCCACGGATGAGAATCCTCAAGGGGAAAACAACTCAAGAACCTTGGGAAATTTTGAAAAGTGAGATTATAAAAGCCCAGTCTAGCCCAATACCAATGAAGAAAAATAACAGCTCTCAAAAGAAACTAGCATGGCTGCACAAAGCGTAGACGCAATTTACATAGACTTCCGTAAAACTTTTGATTCAGTGGTACATGACAAATTACTTCTAAAACTAAAATCTTATGTCATTTCTGGACTCCTACATAAATGGATAGCTTCCTTCCTGTCAAACGGACAACAAATGGTCAAAATAGGAAGCACTCTATTAAATCCTGTACCTGTTAACAGTGGTGTTCCTCAATGCAGTGATTTAGGTACAACACTCTTTATACTTTACATAAATGACCTTTGTGATCATATTAAAAGCAACTGTGTTTTCTTCATTGCTGATGTTAAACTATTCAATACCACCGACAATGCAACTACCCTTTAAAAAGACCTTGACTATGTGTCAGATTGGTCTAACAAGTGGCAACTTCAAATCTCAACCAATAAATGCTCTGTCTTGCACATTGGCAAAAAAAATCAAAACATAAAATAGAAATTAGATGGACATGGAAAAGAAAAATGTCAAGGAAACAATTGGTCCTTTTTGGGAGAAAGTGGCAAGAAGGTGAGAAAGCAGTATTACTTAACTCGTTTTTTGCATCTGTCTTTACACAAAAGGAAAAAACAGTCCAACCTATCAAAAACAGCACCACAAAAAACAGATTAGGAACACAAGATAAAATAGGGGGGAAAATGGTAAGTGAACACCTGTCTACCCTAGATGAGTTCAAATCACCAGGATCAGATGGATGACACCCCAAGGTTCTGAAGGAACTGGCAGACGAGATCTCAGAATCACTGAACTATATCTTTCAAAGATCCTGGAGCACAGGATTTTCCAGCCAGAGGACTGGAAAAGAGCTGATGTAGTTCCCATCTTCAAAAAAGGAGGAAAAAAAATAGATCCAGGAAACTATCAGCCTGACCTCAATACAAGGGAAGATTCTGGAAAAGATAATCAAGCAATGAATCAGCGAACAACTAGAAGCAAACAAAGTAATAATCAAAAGCCAACATGGGTTTGTGAAAAACAGATCATGCCAGGAGGACGGAGCTGACGTCGCGACGGGACGACGGAAGGTTTTGGAGCTCCGAGACAGCCGTCGATATCTTCACCACTGGACGGTCCAAATCGGACCCCACTGTCCCGTAGAGACAGTGATAGAGGAGGGCACATCCTGCCGATCCCAGGGACACCGCAAAGTCCCTGGTTGATCCAGGAGAAGCCCTTTTTTCCAGCGCTGAAGAGGCAGCCATTAAGCTGCTGAAGTTGGGAGACCTCTGGAACGGAAGAGAACGAAAGAGAAAGTGTGACAACTTGGTGAGAGATTTAATTAGACTTTAAGAACATCCTGATGTGAAAAGATAATTAAAATTGAAAATAGAAGTTATAGAAGTTATAAATAGATGCTTGTGGAGAGTTTTATTTTTTAAATTTGACTGGACTGGATGAGAAGGGAGATTTTCTTTTTTACCTGTTTAACCACTGAATTTCTGGTCTCTTTTGTGTTTATAAGATTTTGGAATAGTTTTGTTACTTTCCCCTTTGGTTACACTTTAACTTTTATTTCCCCCCCCCACTTCTTTGGAGATAGAGGGAGAGTGGAAGAAGCAAGAAATACTGCCATCTAGTGGACTGAAACATTATGTCTTTTCTTTTTTCCTTTTTTTTTCCACTGATGAATGTAGCAA